CAACATGCCCGCGCCGCATTCTACACCTAAAAAAACACGCGTTCAAGGGATTTGTGATTATCTTAATGCAAAAAGCATTACTTATAGCTACAATAACGTTTTTCGCTTTTTATAAATGCAAAGGGTAAAATAATTGCAGATTGAATGGGCTCCTTTTTTTGTGGTGGTGGGGAAAAAATTTGCGGTCCGGACTTTTTTGTCCAGGCCGTGCCCACTTACACGGCCGTTGGCGAGGGGGCACGGCATGTCACTTGGTTGGCTGGCTTGGGCAGGGGCGTGATTGTGCCTTGTCCCTCACGGCCCACCATCTTCTTGCTTTTTTATTTTTGTTTTATTTTTGCTTTTCTTTTCCTTTTTGCCCCTCTCTTGGACAGCAGCAACTTCGGCACTTTGCCTAGCCGCATTCGCTTATTCTTGCGCACTTGGTATCTCATTTCCGTCACTGTCGCCGTTGGCTGTGTCGTTGTGTCTTGGGTCGGTCGGCGCTTCAGCAGCAGATCATCATGGTCTGTATGCAACGTCAAGGGGTTTTTCTCTTGTGCATTGGACAATAAAAATGTTGAAAAGCAACCCCTCATCACCCGTAACCTTGACCCAGCTTCGCTTTCCTTTCTTCTTTTATTGTGTCCATCTCTAGCCGGCTGGGCCAGGGTTCCTTGGACGTGCGTCCTCCCGCTGCTGCCAGCATTAAACTAGTGCCTTGACTTTGCCCACCTAGTTCCTTGGCAGACACCGGCTGCATCAGCCGTCCAGCATTTTCGATCCGGGGCAGCTTCCGTGGCGTCTATCGTTTCCGCAACGGGCAGCGGGTGGTACCTGGGTGGTCACCTAGCAGCCTTCCCTATAGGTAATCACTTCATACCGAGTCTACAGCTGGTGACACGCAGTTCGAAATTTCGAACTCGCGCTTAGCTCGGCTAGGGGAGCAGCAACAATACACCCACAAAAACAGGGTCGGGTATGGGTTTGGGAGCCACAAGCAGGCAATCAGCGCGGGACGGCAGGGGAGCACCATCCGCCACGCGCTAGCCTCGCTCCCCGCGGAGTGTGCTGGGAAGGGAGGGGACCAGGAAGCGATCAAGGGGATCAGCCGAGACAACGCCGCCTCTTCCCCCTCCGTCTCCTCTGCGGGGGAGCCCTTGTATACAGCTAGCCTCTCTCTCCCGTCAATAATCTTCCCGTTGCTTTTTTTTTTTTTCTGATTTTTATTAGGGCCATTATCTGGTTTGGATCGCCTCACCTAACCTAATGCTTGGCCGCCGCCGCCATGTGCGGGGCTGGACATGCAAAGGCCCAGCAGCCCTGCACTATCGGCGTGGGCGTGGGCGTGCCATGCATGGGGTGGAAGGGGTGTGGCGTTGAGAGACGTTGACTGTTTGGGCCCAAAGCTTCAGCATCGATGGGTTGGGCGCGGAGTCCCCATGGGGCGTGGGGGCTGATAGTGATGCTGAACTATCCCCCTTGAGAGTGCCGCTAGGCATCCGGCCGCCGAAATAGGATTGAATCTCTGGAGCTTATCTCCTGATGAGGGAGGGGTCTGGGTATCACCAACCGGTGGTTGATATCGGCGATCTTATCGTGCTAAAAAGAGCCTAGCCGATAGAGCTCCTGTGCTAAGGCGGGGGCGAGTAAGGATCACTAGACACCGACAGAAGAAAAAACCCGTACGAGGTTATCACTAGGGCCTTCTCTGGGTTTTTGCGGATCGAGGCTATCGTTTGCTCCGCCGAGGCGCTTCCGCTCTTGTGACATATCCTATCACACGATCCCGTTCGGCAAAAGTGCTTGGGCCACGACAAAGGCAATGCCGATTGCTTCCTAGGACTGGTATATGTGGCGTATTATATCTCCATTAGGGATGATTTACGGGCATAACGGCCCCTGCGAGCGGAACGGCCCCGGGCAAGGACTCGACGGCAGAGGCCAGGCCAAGAGGCGGCCGAGAACGGGCCCTCAGCCGCGCCTCTGGTGCGGGACGAAGCCCCTGGTAATGTGCTTGCTCCCTCGTCGTCACCTCGTCGAGCTGGGGGGAGAGGATCGGTCACGTCGGGTCTGGCCAGGGACGGGCGTGCATCAACGAGCATATGCAGAGTGCGTGGTCCGTGCCACCCATCTTCCCGCCTTGGTCCTTGGGGACCACTCTTGCGCACGCCCTCCCACGACCGGGGGAAAATACCAGGGTTGGGCTTTTCTGCCTCGGCGACGGCGCACGGCACACGACGCTTAGGGAAAGCAAACAGGCAAGCACTGGGCGTTACCGAGCGGACCGTGGGGCAGTTTAGCCGGCGAGCGGCTGGGTTCTTTTTAGTCTCAGACAGCCGGCCCGAGCAGGCGCGGCCTCGATCACCTTGCCTTTGTTAGTGCAGGAGGAGGAGGCTCCAGTTCAGACAAGGGGAGGGGGGTGCCTGGTCCGGCAGTCGCCGGGGGGCCAAGGCTGTGTACACATATCTAGGCATGCCTAGGACACGCCGGGTTCGGAGGATGATCAACTCCAACATAGGTATACCGCCGAACCGCGTGTCTCCTATTTCGTCGGAGCAGACCCCCGGGTGACGACCTCGGACAGGGGAGCAAATGGCGATTGTCTGAACTCAGCAGCCTCCGGGCAGTCCCTCAGGCCCAATCAATGAGGGCCGTGCTGACGCTGCTCCTTTGTGTGACTGCCTGGCCTGAATCATGTGCTTGTCTGGCGTGTCTCATGCCTAGAAAGTTCCGACACGATAGCCAGTCTAATGCGCCAGTAGGCAGAGTGTCGAAAAAAGGTGGGCAGTGATAGAGAGAAAGAAGAAAAAAGAAGAAGTAGCTGGCGGACTGCCTTGGGCGATAGCTTGGCACACATGCGTGTGATAAGGCTTGTGTGTCGCCAGCGACCACCCATCGGCGGTTGCCGCGCGCTACGCGTCAAGACTTGTAGTACCGCCACCGCGTCTGCCATCTCCTGGGATGCTGGCGAGTCAGGAGCTAGGAGCTGAACTGGCCATGCAGGATGCCCTCCCTTTACTGGGAAACTTTATTCCCTTTACCAGGAAACCTATTCCCTTTACCAGGAAACCTTATTCCCAGAGTCCTTCTCTGTTGCGAAGACCAACACCAGGATCACAGCTAGGGACGCGGCTAGACAAGTGTGAGCGGCTGTCTTACGCATCCAAAACCTTCCATGATGTTGTCTGTCATCAGGGGAAAGGCCAACGATTGGCCAGAAGCCGTGCCAACCTCGGGGTTCCAGGGAGCCCCTGCCAGCGTGCCGTCCCAGCTGCAACCAAATCCTGGCTCCAGTAGCGTCGGTGCCCGCCAGCAGCGCCAGCCAGCCTGGTATCAAAGCTTGGCTGCAGGACGCAAACCGGGCGGCTCAGGTTACACTCGGATACTCTGGGAAGCAACGCTCAGTCGACATATTGTTAGCGAGGAGAGCAAGAGAAAAGAGGTCTGACGGTCGTGTTGGCTAGGCTGGCGGCATAGACACAGCGGGCCAAGCTCCGGTCTCTTGGGCTCCTTCTTTGCGAGGCGACATCGCCAAGTAAACACAAGCAGCAACAGAAAAAAAGAAAAGAAAAAGGAAGAAAAAGGTCTCGGACAGGCTTACGTAAAAGGAGAAAGGTGAAACTGAAAGCTCTCATGGCTGTTTCTTTAGGTCTGACTAGCAGAACATCTGATGGCCTGGCCTCGGTGCCCTAGGATATCAGGTGTCCCTTGGTGGGTAAGTGGTCAGTTAGCCCGAATGTTCATGTCACCACATTGATTCGTCGGGGACCTGGGGAAGGATCCTCTCGCGCCACAACGCATGGCGCGCACCATCTTACCATACGGGCCGCTGTCTCAGCGAGATGAGCTTATATCCCAACGCACGGGATTTGCGAATGCATAGTGATAATACGATAGGGGAATGCTTGCGAGTTTGAGTAGGCCCAGCGGCCAACGGGCTGGGTGGGCTTATCCGGCAGCGTTGAAAGGGGTCTAGACAGAGCGAAAGACGACCACCAAATGCGACGGGCTGGTTAGCGTCACGAAGCTTCTCGCTAGGGGCGGGCAACGCCACTAGAAACACCAGAAACCCCCAGGCGCCTGTCGAGCCGACGTGAAGCAAGTGCAGCTAGGCTAGCTCGGCGAGACTTGCGAATCCGCCAGAGGCACAAGGTGCGCAAAGCATCCCCGCTGGTCATAACAATCGTTGGAGACGGAAACTAAAGGAGGCCAATAGAACAAGACACCATGAGCCTTTGCGCCCATCGACGTGCGCTGGCAAGGGGTGTGTCTCCCGAACCCTTAGACATCAGCAGCTTTCTCCGCTCCGACTCTCTTGCTCTCGGACAGGAGCGGCGCATGATAGGCCGGATCGGAATGAGCCCTGAACGAGTTCGCCAGTGGCAACATTGGGATGTGATAAAATGGTCAAAGACAACGATCGACGGTGCGATATCTTGGTGCGACGGACCTGTCAGAGCCTGAATCTAGGCACTGATTTCCTGTCGCTCGCTCCTCCGGCTCTGTATCCGGGTGTCACTGCGTCAACAGAACGTACGTGGCTGCCATGGCGAGGAGGGCAAGACGACATGAACGCGATCAAGCGGGCGTCCATCTCCACACTTGGTACACGTGTAGTCGATGGAGGGTGCAGAGCGGCTGAGGATTGGATGGCTAGGTTGGAGTGAGACGTGTGGCGTCCTTAAAAAAGGAGCCAACAGAAAAATCTCCGAGAGGGCAAGGGTGTAAAAGCTATAACACTTGCAGATAAGAGAGGCTCGCAAATCGGGGCTGTCATCTAATGCCGGGGATAAAGCCGTCATTCGCCCATCATCATGCGCCGGCACGCCACAAGCGCCGAGGCCCAGTAGCCATTCAAACAGCGGGCCACACGAGATTTCTTGCTTTCCCACCAGCCAGGGCTGATGTATAAGGGGGTTTCGGGATGAAAAGGGCATGAGGGGTGAAAAGCAAAGGCATCAAGACACACGGGATGAAAAGAGATACTGACGCCCAGATCAAAACGACTCCACCGACGAGGCTACTGCCGTCCTAATGCCGAATGAGGAGGGGCCAAATTATCCCAGCTTGGGCCTTTTTAGGGCCACGACCGGACACGCTGGTCCGCCAAAGCTAGGCCAAGGCTAGGCCAAAGCTAGGCCAAAGAGCTTGTAGGCCCGGCAAACGCAGCTCGCCGGTGATTTCTATTGCGCATCAGACTTCTGTCGTCTCCCGCATGCATTTCGACCGAGCCATCATTTTAGTCCACTGGACCGTCTCTGCCTCGCCACGACCTGCCGTGTGGACAGCGCTGGGCCGCCACCGGGGCAGCTAGCCCCCTGTGCCGGTGGATGGCAGGTAGCACAGAATGCAGGTGCGTGTCTACCTGTCAAGCGGTTGGTTTGGCACCTAAGTGTGACCGTCCGGTGGGTAGAGGCTAGCTGGCACTCTGCCCAGGGCAAGGCGGGACTGCTGCCCGACCAAACAGGCAGAGCGACGGTGGCACGAGAGCCGGCTGGCTGATCTCTGTCCGAGTGCAGCACCAGCTCTCGTAGGTCTAGATGCCGTGCGGGCCCGGCTGGCGGCGGGAGGTTTCCCTGTTGTTCTCACGGTATCTCTGGACGATGTTGTTTCGGTGGACAAGTTCAGAGGCGGCCTCACCGTACCCCGTTGTCTCTTCGCTCTGCTCACTTTCATCGGCCCATGTCGAGATGGTTCTGACGCAACCGGTCAGCCTCCGAGACCCGATTTCTTGGCGTGGAGCCGACCGGCGAGCGACACAGACATTGAAAGAGGAGTGCTGCCGTCGTTGCTTTGCTCTTTGCGGGCTAGAGTGTCCGCCGTGATGGGGGGAAAGGGAGACGAAGCGAAAAAAAAGAAAAAAAAAAGCAAGATAACACCAACCAGCGCGCATTGACTTTGGAACGTCTACCGCCCCAGCAAAACTACTCACCAAGTCCAGGAGTCGACTAATCGTGACCACTAGGGAGCGGGCTACAGTGGAACCAGGCCTAAAACCCAGCCTGGGCAGACCCCTGTACCTGTGCTGCCCAGTTCTCAACGGCGGGCCATCACATCCAGTTGGTCAGATATCACAAACTACTACGGCGAGAGACAAATAAAAACGGGCCCAGCACAGCGGCAGCGTGCGCATTCGGCTCCTCTACCCTGACCCGGAGGGTTGTCTCACCCTTGACGGCGCAGTGATGTGCTCCTGTTTGGGTGGCTGGTCCCAGGACCAATCTAGCTTCTGTAACCTGGTTCGTTCTTGCTGTCTTTGAAGGCTTGTGTTCCCGCTTGTTGCATTTTCCGGGCAGGCCCTTCCTTTTCCTGCCAAAAGGAGCACAAAGGGGAAAAAGCCTTGGACCGCCGGTCAACACCAGGGAAGACGTGACCACCAAGTACCGGACCCCAGGTACATGATGGATTGGGAAAGACCTTCCCTTGGAATGATTGCTGCCTATCCGGGTTCCTGCCTCTCAACGTCCATTTTGCAGGTCGCACCGCCTTTCGTCCTTGCCGGCGTGTCCATTTAGCTCAGGTTGGCCAGCGTCCGTCTGCTTCTTTGACATGCGGATGCATGCAGCCACCCTTCTTGTTTGTCCTGAAGGAGAATAATGATCACAACCGGGTAAGCTTGCTTGCCTTTTCGTTTCGATCGTCGTATTGGGCGGGGAAAGGAAAGCAAGGGGAGTCCGAAAAAAAAAAAAAAAAAAAAAAAGGGCATGAATAAAAGGCGTCGATCTCATGCGGGCGGGGCCCACCATGAAATGGAGCCAACAGCGCCTTGTGCACCGCTTGAGGCTGTTGTTGCGAGCGAACCTGCAGTCAGCACCGCACCAGCAAACGTGCACTCGCAACCGGAGAGCAGGAGCTGCCCAACCCAAGTCCCGGGAGGCACCCATTGGCCGCCGCGGCCAATGCAACCAGACCCTTAAACGAGGCTCTTTCGGGAAGCAGCTTCTGTCCAATGGCCTCGGATCCCGACAGGCATGGCTACTCGACCGCAAACGCCATTGCCGACCGGCCCAAGCACGGAAGGGCGATCGGCTGCACGGCATCCCTCCCACGCACACACGCACACACGCACACCACGTAGCTCAGATGCCGTTGGAGGTTGGGTCTAGGAGCAGGCAGGCGGCACCGCATCAAACGCACAGCATCAAGCGCACAGCACCAAACGACCGCTGGGATCACGCTTTCCACTCCTCGATTCGTACAAACACGCAAGGCGAGTCCTTGACGGCCACAGTCCGATGCCGTCGCCTGTCCCCTGAGCCGGGCTGCGTTGATGCTGTCCAGTCATGTTCTTCTTTACGTCGAGGCTGTTCCGTCTGCACGCCAATGTCGGCGGGAGGGAGTGATAACGCTGATGATATGGGAGACACCACGCCTGCCAATTAGGGACATGCTAAGGTGGCCGTGAGATATGCCACTGATTCAATTCATAGGGCTCGTAATGATATAGGCGGCCCCGCCAGCACCGCAACAGTGACGATGACCTGTCTGTGCTGGGGGAGAGAAACCCGGCAGGGTGGGATTCTAACAGCGAATCACACCAAGATGCTTGGGCTGTGGTTTTGCATTTTTTTTTTTCCCTCATCTTCCTGGGTTTCGCTGCCCTTGCGCATCACTCACAACGCACTGTGGGCGTTCGCTGAAAGGTTAGACCCGCCCATCTGATATCAGCCACCCCC